TGGACCTGCTTGAGATGCATCTGTGGATGCATGACAAGGTACGGTTGGCCTTCTTGACTGCATCCCCACACTGTCGGCCCATGTTCATCTTGGCATCAATGATGACTCCAAGATCCTTTTCTGCCTCTGTACTGATGAGAAGGGAGTTCCCCAGCCTGTAGGTATGGTGCTGGTTGTTCCTCCCCAGGTGCATCACCTTGCACTTGTCGGTGTTGAATCCCATCCTATTCTCATCCGCCCACCCCTGTAACCTGTCTAGGTCTGATTGCAGCCTACTCCTCCCTTCTAACGTGCTCGCATCCCCCCACATCTTAGTGTCATCAGCAGATTTGAACAGGGTGCTATTTACCCCTTCATCCAAGTCACTGATGAAGATGTATATATGTATGTGTATGGGAGTAAGGACCTGAGAGAGTAAGAAAAGCTTCATTACTAGATCCATTAATAGTTTAATTAGTAAATATAAAAAAGTACTTGTTGCAGATATAGATTATAGGCCATCATTTCTACTGAACATAGCTATAGCACCATAGTGTAGTTCTGCAGGAAGACATATTTCTGAATCATTCTAGTTCCATTTTTACAAATTGTTCCGCTTTGATCAAAATTTTCAGATATGTATGCTACGGAAATTAAGTAACACTTGTCAGTATATAGTCTACTGCCGGAAATTTTTGCTTGCCATGTTATTACTATGATGTTTGACTGGAAATTGCTTAGCAGAGAAAATGTATAGATAAATATCCCTGAGCTTTGCAGAGTTTGAAATTACATCTAAACTTAATACTATGGTACCTATTCCATAGATTCATAGACTTTTAACTCCAGAAGTTCCCTTAAATCATGTAGTCCAAGGTCTGGAATATCATAAGGCATATAATTTTTTCTTTTCATGCTCCAAATACCATATTTATCTGAGTCCAAGATACCTTTGGACTTAAGGTGGACCCACCCCCTGGTAATTACATTCTATCCATGGAAAAGTATACATTTGTTACAGTTTTCCATGGATGGAATCTAAGTCATGGAAGGTCATCTTCATTCCCTTCTCTCACTGCTACAGTGAGGAAAGAAGTGGTAGGGGGCAAGAGGCCAGACCTCTGCCCCTTAGATTGGACTCCCTGGCCATATCTGACCCTGTCCTTCCCTGCCACTTACCTTTCCACTTGTCCCCTGCCATCTGAATCCCATGCCTCTAGCCCACCCATGCATGTGCCTACCCCCTTGCCCCCTGCTCCCACCTGCTGCCTGTCCCCCTGCCCTTTACCCCCATATGCCTGATCCCTGCTATCTGTGCTGCCCCTCACCATATCTGCCACTCCACCCCATGCATTTGTCCCATCACTTACCTTCTGCTCTGCTCTACCTCCAGAGCAGTCCATGGTGGCAGCCCCTGCCTGATGCTGCCCTGCTCATTTAGACAAAAGCAATGACTGGTCTGGGGCTAGAGGGGACAGCTGGAGCAGAAGGTAAGCTGGGGGAGGCCGCAGAGAAACATGCTGGAGAGGGGCAGGAGGGACAAGCATGTGGACAGGGGCAGGTCTCCTCTACACTCTCCCCAAGCTGCACAGGTAAGTCTCCCCTGCATGCCCTCTCTCACTGTGCAGTTTCCCCCACAGTCCCCTGGCCACATGCCCTCTCCCCTTCCATACAACCCACCCTGGCTTAGGGAAGGCAGCAGTTCAGCTCCTGCTTCATCTTCAAGCCCAGGGCCAAGCCAGAGCTGAGCTGTTACCTTCCCCAGGGCAGTACTTAATATCGTTTGGGAGGAAAAACCTTGTCTCGGATTTTAGTAAATATGGTAGTTTGTGATCATAACCTCTTCTGACCCATGCCAAAGTGTTAACCACGTTCAGTAAAATTAAAGGGAAATGAGAAAAGAACCCTGCCGTATCATGAAATATACATAAAGGAGCATGGCTTCCCCTTTTTTTTTTGTCATTTCCTATACAAAGTAGCATTTTACTTTGAATACAGAATCATTTTACACAGGTGTAAATTGAGTTACACCTGTGCAAATTTTGATTACATAAGATGCTAGGCAGTAAAAAGACTGAAATCTGTGGTATGTAAGATTACCTAATTATGAACCTCCTGTTTCAAGGGACCACTTTCAAATAACTATTTAACTGAATGCCCATTTCCTCTGCCTTCCTCAGATTTACAGCTTTTATCAGTCCTGTAAGTATTTGCTTAAGTATTTGCCTAAGACATTTTTAGTATACTTTAGACTTCATATTTCAGCAAATGCAATAACTTTGTAGACTGCTGTTTCAGAGGAGCTCTGAGCAGTTAAGAACATATACATGATCTGCTCAGGGAGCAGATACAGGCAGATTTGGACAAGCTGGAAAAGTGAGCAGAACAAAATAGGATGCAGTTTAACAAGGATAAGAGCAGAAGAGAAGGAATTATTAGTACACATACAGATTGGGGGAGGACATTCTAAGCAGCGCAGCAGCACAAAGGGATCTTGGAATCATAGTTGACTCAAAGATGAACATGAATCAGCAATGCGATGAAGTGATCAATAGAGCTAACTATACTCTATCATGCATTAACAGGTGCATCACAAACTGGTCTAGGGACATGACACTTCCCCTTTATGCAGCACTGGTAAGGCATCAGTTGGAGTACTCTGTTCAGTTTTGGGTGCTGCACTTCAAGAGGAATGTGGATAACCTTGAGAGGGTACAGAGGAGGGCCACTCATAAGATTAGAGGCCTGCAGGATAGGTCCTATGAGGAGAGGTTGAAGGGCCTGGATCTCTTTAGCCTCCATAAGAGAAAGCTGAGAGGGGATTTGGTGGCTGTCTATGAATTTGACCGAGTGGGGCAGGGGGCACAGGAAGGAATAGGAGATGCTCTGTTTACCAGGACACCTCTTGGAGTAACTGGAACAATGGCCACAAACTGGTAGACAGCAGATATATACTAGACTTTAAGAAGAACTTCTTTATGGTACAGGTTACCAGAACCTGGAATGGGCTTCCAAGAGAGGTGGTGCTCTCCCCTACCTTGGGGGTCTTTAAGAAGAGACTGGACAAACACCTGGCTGGGGTTGTCTGATCTCCGCACTCTTTCCTGCCCAGGGCAGGAGGTCGGACTCGATGATCTGCTGAGGTCCCTTCCAACCCTGAAAATCTATGAAATCTATGTTCCTAAAAAGGTCAAGAAGAGTTTTATCATTGGTATCAATGGGAGCAAGAGGGAGATCTTCTTTTAATAAAGCATTGAGTGAGAAAGAAACAGGAGAGTTTCAGCCAGGAGGGAGGTAGAGGGGGGGGAATATTTTGATCTTCATGTAGTTTTCTTTTGTTTTTCCTCATCCCATTCTTTCCTGACCTGGTTGACATTCTAAGGTAGGAGGTTATCAGCACATAGCACAATGCCAGTCCATAAATACTTATAAAGTTGCTTTGTTTTCCATCACTGCAGGTTTACAGTTCTGTCCCTAACTTAGATTGTAATTTCACCCCACACCTCCATGTTCTCTTACATGACACAAGCAGTTCCTTCAGAACCTGTTAGCTTAGTGCCACAAGCAAAAAAATATTAAGGCAGTTTGGCCCTGAAGACTTGACAGATCAGTTCTACCAAACAGCACATTTGCTCATTTTTAATAATGTAATGCTTTGTCTAACCAGGGAGTTTATTCTCTAAGGGATATAAGTCCTCAAGACACCTCAGGGGGTCACTGATAGTACATTTATTATGAATTTTTTAATTATTTTTCCATTACAGATAATGGCAAAGAATCAAAGAGAGCTTCCTGTCCACAGACCTTGATTTTACACAGTCACAAGAAAACTAAGCCTACAGAGAATGATGACAATAAGGTCTGTTTCGTATCATAGATTTTGTTTTCTTTTAAAAGATATTATAATAATATTGAATACCAGAAACTAGAGAGTGAGCAAAGGCCTATTGCATGATCTGAAACTTTTCCTCTTGATATAGGATTATTCCATATACTGTGTGTTTTGTGAGCAGTCTATCAAATCTCTCTTCCTGGGTATTTTATGCAGCCTTCAATGCTGTAGTATTTGTGGGCCTCCTAATTATTTTAGTAACAGAAAAGACAATCTACATCCTTCTTTCTTCCTGTTCTGATTTTGTTATCTGCTTGTACATAAAAAAGGGGGAGGGGGAGGGGGAGGGAAAAATTAAGAGAATGAGTGTGACTGTTTTGCATCTGTGTTTGAAATTCAACCAATGGACAACTGAAGAAACAAGTAGCCCATAATTCAGAAATGGTTTATTTCCATGGATATTCTTATGTCTTGTAGAGGCTTCCTGACTTCCTTCCTCTTTCTTTCCCTCTCTCTTTTGTTTCAAGTCAGGAATAGTCAGAGACATGAAGCCTTTGTTTCAAGTCAGGAATAGTCAGAGACATGAAGCCTTCACTTTGATAGAGCCCAGATTTTTTGGTCTTTTAATATGGCAGTTTAAATGGTTTAGAGAATCAGGATCCCCGAAATGCCACCATCAAATATCTATAGATTCCCAAATTCCAGGTGTTTGTGCAGAGCTTCTCCAGAAACCCTTAGAGATAAGAGCCTGGTCTTGTTTCTAATGTCCCACTTTATTGCCATTGCTGTGTTCCCATTTGCAATCCTATGTGTACTCAATGAATGTACTGTTAATCCCTTCTTAAGATCATGCACACAGTTATTACATATAGATACGAATTTGACATGAATAGATTACAAAGGTTTTCTTTATGTTTTTCATATATCCATATACATACATAAACATTATTTACATGCATTATTATTATTAACATAGGTAAAGTCTTTTTATATGGGCAAGGTTCTTTGGGTAGATGTGATATCTTTTATTAGACCAACTGAGTAGTTGGGGAAAAATGTGCTTTGCAACCCTTCGGGTGCAATCACCCTTCTTCAGGCATAGGGACTATCTCCTTAGACCAACACGGCTACAACCAAAAACCCAGCTACATCTTTTTATACATACTTTTTTCATTACTGTCTTCTAAAGGATAAAAAACCTGAACCTAGTTCCCTTCAAGTTAATAGAAAACCTTGCTTTCCTGATGCAGATCTTATAAAAATTAACAATTAATAATAGCTAATACCAAATTATGAGTGTCTATGAGTTAGTATAAAACAGCACTTAACTTGCCAGCTTGTTGATATGCTTGTCCCCTTTGAGTAGAAGACAGTGCTACTCCAGGTACTGCTATGGCAGCATGCCATGCAATACATTGCCATCTGCGTACACTGCACTTCCTAAATGTGGCATGTGTAGCCAGTGTGCTGTTTACACCACAACTATGGAGAGAGCACCCAGTCTGCTGCCTCCCATTCACACACAGGTTTACACCACAACTACAGGGAGACCACCCTAAGTGTTCTGTAAAGGTATAGCAGACATTACTGTTACATTCTTATTTTTGTTTGCTTGTCTCTCCCTTCCATACTTTCTAGCACCTTTGGCATCATTATACTTTATGCAGCCATAATGTTTCAGTCATTCAGCACTCAGGCTCTGCATCTGCCCCTATCTCTACGGATGCACTAGGTCTCAAAAGTATTATTGAGCGCTTAGCATTTGTAAAATATTTGGAAGATGACCAGCTTTGTGTACTTGCTTATTATTTTTTAATCATATGATTTTCTTTTAAGCATTAATGCTGTGTTCAGCTATTATTATCCCTCCTACCTCTTTTCCATTAATTTCTTTAAGCTACCACTATAAATTGATTTTCCTTTTTTCCTTTATTTTTTATTAACACAACCACATAACCATATCAAAAACATATATAAAGAATGTTGTAACACATTTGGGGGTGCAAACTGTGATTATCCATATAAATGTTTCAGTGACTTCCCTCAACCTCAGCTATCCATTAGGTTTTACTCAGAAGCAGGGTGGGACTATGTCTCAGGCTGCCTTTTCATTTTTAAAAGACTTGTACCTCCACATCGCAGTATAACTGTGCTCCTTTTCTTTTATGACCCTCTTATATTAGCTGTTTATAGTATGGCAACCAGGTGGCATAAAAATCCATACCTTTTCCATGGTGAATATGTGCCATATTCTCTCTGTCCATTCTCCCTGATTTGGCAAGGTTGCCCATTTCTGTGCTATGGCTATCAGTTGGATGGTTGCTGAGATGAGGTGGATGAACAGAGCTTTATAATAATCCATAGTTGGAGATTTAGGAAATATCCTCAGAAGGAAAATTATGAGTGAAAGGGGAAGATAAATTGCTTTTCTTATCTGTTTAAACACTTGCTACCTGTAGATTCCAGAGTACCAGATAAAGGGATGTTTATGAATTTGCCTGTGGGAATGAGCTGTATTTCCAAATAAATCAAAAATACATCAGTGCAAGGTTTGTTAGCATCAGAAACATTATCAAATATGCATACACGCACACACACACACACATATGCATATACATGGTTTCAGAGTAGGTAACATAGCTGATGGAAGCTAGAGAAGAGACAGTTTTGACAGTATCATTCATTTGCAGAGTAATGTGAAAATGCCTACATGTAAGCATCTAAGGGTGACAGAACCATTATTAACTTATGCAAAGCACCTTTTGCCCACCTCACTGCACGCAGTCCTTACCGCGAGCAGTTTCAGCAACATACCATTCAGGTTGCCTCCTACAGACTTTTCACTTCCAGTACTTGCAGAAGTGTTTTGTAGTCGATGTAACACTCAAGCAACATTATCCATTCTACTTTTCCTCATGCATTTCTGGAAGTACAAGTTTGGTTTGGGTCTGCATTTAACTTAGGTTGCCTTGTATTTAGGTGACTTTTCAGATGCTAAATCCCTCTCTGATTATGAACTTTTCAAGTCTCACAGCCCATATTTTTTTTTCTGATAATGTGGTGACATAGACAAAATTATATGAAGAATCCCAGATGCACCATTATCGGTGCTACGTACAAAAGCATCTTTACTTCTCCAGTTTTCTATATGCAATATTTTCAGTTTACCTAAGCTGGCTTAGGTGTAGACTGTTGGTCACATTCAACCAAATGGACCAACCATGATTTGTCTAATCCACTTCCAGTTAAAATAAAGTAATTTGTATTTTAGTGGCACTCTTGGGTATCAGTTTCAATTGCTGACTAATCTTTGTCTATTTCTATGTCAAGGATCATTCTTTAAAACTAGTAAATGAAGATGACAGAACATCCAATGGCAACAAGCCTGTGGCATCTACTCCTGTTCCAGGATCACCATGGTAAGCACATTCAAGCCTAATAATAATCATTCATCAATATAATTGTTCTGTCAAATCTGCATTAGTGTTTTGTTTATTTTATTAGTATGTATTAGAAAAAGAAATAATATTCTGGATGTTGGATAACACTTCACTATTTTCTTTTAAGCAGTGGTATTGTAGCTTTATGTCATTACCCACATAATTGCAACAACAAAAAAAAAGATATAGCCACATGCACAGTATGAGATAACTACCAAAGATTTATAAGGTAGGTGGAGTAGGCTCCTGATAGCGATTTCTAACTCAGCTAGAAATCAATTCCTGCAGAATGTAACTGATTGTTTTTCTAATGTCAGTGTTATGTTTGGCTGCTAGTACTGTATCAAGTACTGCTGTACTGACCTTCAGCATCACTATCTGAACTCTGATCTTGTTAGATTTCACTAGAAGAAATCAGTAGAAGGTCAGATGTGGTTAGTGTTTGCATGACCTGAAAAGAAAATTTAATTGCTACAAAGTACATTCTTGGGTCCAAATCTCAATCTGCCTTGAAGTCTTTGTGCATAAGGTACCACAGAAACTGCATATCCTGCCTCAGACTGTGACCCAAATCCATTTAGGAAAATGCACTGGGGGCACTCTCCTGCACCATCCGAGACCAACCCAAATACACCTTCATCGATGCATAGCAATTGTTTTGAAAAGGAGCAGCCTTCAATACTTCTAATCCACCCAGAAAAACACACAAATGCCTCTCTAGTTCCTTCAGCGGGGAACCCCTATTCAGCGGCATCACACATGAATCCAACTCACAGTGAGGGAAAGCTCAAAATGACTTCTGAGGAGAGCCATATAAATAACCTAGGAAGAGTGCCCACTCACCTAATAGCATAGCGGTTAAGGCACTTGGGATGGGAGCCTTCCAAACCTTTTTTAGCAAGGTGGGGTTTTCCTGCTTCCCAGAAAAGTGCCTTAACTGCCAGGCCATGGACAAGCCAGGGCCAAGAACACTGTCTTCTGCTGAAGCTGACCCAGTTAGCAGCCATGAGGGGAGGTATGAGGCCAGATGATTTATAGACTGGTGAGGAGGGCACTGGCCTGGGACAGAGGAAGACCTGAGTTGCAGCTCCTGGTCTCAGTTATTTCATTTTATTTTTTCATTTTTCATTGAATGGTTTTTGGATAAAAGGCACAAAAGTCTAGTGAGCACAAGCTGGGAGGAGGGTCCAGAACCCATGTCTTCATGGTGTTTAGGAGTTGGTCATCCTGATCTCTGATATGTTTCTGTGGAAGTTAAGGACAATTGTTGTTGTACTGGGTTTTTCTAGATTTTATGCCATATATGCGAGCTTATTTAAAATATTGTGACTTTACCTTCCTGGCCAAATTATAACTTGGATCAATATATTCTGCATAATGAAAACCTTTATTTGGATCAATGTAATTCTTTGCTTTCTATCCTGATCTGCTGGATGTGAGTTCCTTTGTGTTCTTTATCCATATGGGTAAATTTCCATAGTGGCTTAAGTATTTATTGTGCTTTTTCACTAGTTTGTTGAAATTTATAGGATCTCTGGCCAAAATGACCTGTGTGAATATCCATCATTTTTTATTATACTGTGTGATTGCAGTCCAACCATGATATAAATACATCCTTACGTTATCACTAATTTCGGCAATACAGGTTTCCCTTGATTTATGTGGGTTCTTTATATGCGAATTTGCTCTTATGCCATGAGCATATGTAGACCCATAATTCATTATATGCAAGGTAAATTTGCTCTTATGCGATCAGCATAGACTCCCCTTCTCCCCTCCCCCCCCACCCCGTTCCCAAGCAGGTAAGTCTGTGGGGGAAGAGAAAAGGGCCATGGCCCCACTCGCCCCAGCCCCGGCTGCAGTGGCTCTGGGAACAGCTGGTGCCAGCTGCCTGCAGCCTCTGAGCTGCACCGGTCTCCGCCAGTCCCCCCGTGCCTGGGCTCCACTTGTCCCCACTCACCTCTGCTCCTGGGCTGCACTGTGCCCTGGTGCAGGCAGCTGGTGTTGGCTGCTTCTAGGGCCACTCCAGCATGGGCTGGGTGAGTGTGGACAAGCAGAGCCCTGGGCAGTGCAGGGTGCAGCATTCACTCCAGCCCTGGCTATGCAGCCCCGAGAACAACCAACACCAGCTGCCTGCACCAGGGCACGGCGCAGCCCAGGAGCAGAGGTGAGTGGGGACAAGTGGAGCCCTGGTGTGGGGGGACAGGTGAAGCATGGTGCAGCCCAGTGGTTGCAGGCAGCTGGAGCTGGCCACTCCTGGGGCTGCTGCAGCTGGGACTGGGGTGAGTGTTGTGCCTCACATTGCCTGGGGCTTCACTTGTCTGCACTCACCTCAGCCCGTGCTGGAGCAGCCCCGGGAGCAGCCAACACCAGCTGCCTGAACCAAGGCACAGTGCAGCCCAGGAGCAGAGGTGAGTGGGGACAGTGGGTTCGCTTTTTGCGAATTTGATTTATGTGCTATTTTCCAGGAACGCATGTACTGCATAAATTGATGGAAACTTGTATATGTTTAGATGTCTAAGCGTGCAGATGTTTTTCTTGTGCTGCCATAAAACCTAAGTGAACAGATGCCCTTGCCACTTGTTGCTCCTTAAGTGCCCAAAAGTGTGAGTGCTTCAATTCCTAGGAATAGTTTATCATGCCTTTTCACAATGGATGTCTGTTTGTTTATGGCATGAGAGAGTGGGCAGCCTGGAGCTGCCTATGCTTTTCAGCTGCCCCAAGGAGGTGCTCCCTGTGGGACAACAGCCCCAGGCAACATCTGTCTACTCATCTATCAAATCAGCTGTGCCAGGACACATCCTGGCAAAGCTGATTCCTCCACAAAGATGATATCTTTTTGTACCCTAAGAGTTGTTTCTCTTCATGACATCTTGAATCACATGAAAATAGTGCACCCTAAGGAACTGGAACCATTAAACACTTAGACATTCCCCTATTGGTCCATTCTTGTACAGTAGGGCTTCTAATCAATTATGAGATTTACAACATTTCATCATCTTTAGCAATATATGCTGAATGGTTAAAGGGGCATTCAGTACATCAAATGAAATCACACCTCTCCTCAGTCCAGATTTGAAATACCTTACTCATAATGAGTGAATCTTTTCTAAAACTCCCAGTTTTTTAGGCGGATTCTTTTGTAAGACAGTCAATAATCAATGAGTAAGGATATTTCAATCTTCCTCTTTTTTCAGGTCTTACTGTGACCTATACTGTTGTTGTCTCCTGCTCTGCTGTGACAACAGCCAAGTTGTACCACAAATTATGTTGGAACATGGAGCATGACTATAGGGTGCTTCTATTATAATTTACATCCTTTGGGACATAACATGATGTTTTGAAAGTAGATTTGCAAAGCCATGCCAAGTAGCTAAGTAATTAATAAATTCAATCAAAGCCTGAATTTACATCAACCCCTCTCCACCCGTAGGTTGGCTCCATGCTTCTGCGGGATTCCGTGGTTGATGTGACATCACTAGGCATATGCTGGGGTGTCATACTGGAGCAGAAACAGGAAATCTGAGTGGGGCTGGAGGTTGTGCCACTTAAAACAAACCAAAAGGTGAGTTTCAGTTGTTACTGTACTGCCAGCCCCTCTTAGGACATTCAGCACATAGTGCAAAAGGTAATGGAATTCAGATCAGTCCAAAACCAATCCTGAATTCTTGAGTCAAAAAAAAAATTGAAGTCCTCTTTGGCACGCATCTGTCAAAGAAATAAAATAAGCTACTTGTTGCATTTTATAGGACCAGTAGTGAATATATGTTTGTCCGGAAGATACATAAAATATATGGCATGCCATGAATGTGTTTTTCATGCGATAGGTTGTATTTAAATATATTTTACGTAATAGTAGCTCTTCCTTACTGCAATCAAAATTGAACAATTTTTCAAAATTAAATATGTATTTTTGGTAAATATATGCATAATACATACTAGAGAACATGTAACAAATACCCACAAACCATATTGTTGAGAATTGGCATCCCCTTGTTATGACTGAGTTCATACTTCTCAGAATGCTTGTTTCATTGAATATGTGTATAGACTAAAGCAGAAGACAGTACATCAGCTTACATCTGGCTTATATTTGGCAGTTTACAGCTCTTATAGTCCCAAGTGTTAGAAATTTTTAAGACTAGAGATTTCTTAGTGTACTCTGATCGATTTGCACTCTGACCGGAAAAAAAAGAAAAGAAAAGAAAAAAAGAACCAGAAACTAGCTAGTTAGTTAAACTGGTTATGTAGTAGACTTTTATCACTATACAAGTCAAAGAACTGGGGCAGGCTTGCTAAATCTAATAACTTCCTTTTTTAAATGGAAGCTGAACATGAACATTCTGGCACTAAATTCTGTTGCACCTGATTAATTCTCTTTTAAATTCAGGACCCATATAACCATTCAAAATACATGGGATATGTCTTAGGGCTACAAAAATAACCTACCCCCAAAAAGATTCTGGATTTTAGTCATTCATGATTTTCTCCCTTTGTCTGCATATAGGTTGCATTAATAAATACCTGTGAGAGTTATGAACTGGCCTCATCTACTATAATGATGAAACCTAATGATAAGTTAAAGGTCAATATTAGCTACTTCAGGACTGCATTATCACAAAAATATCCTGCTGATTTACTTAACTGTAGATACTCTATCAATCAGAGCTATAAAAGACCTGTTATGTGACTTTATATATCCCCTAAGGCCACTTATTTTTGTATTCCTATTTTATCTTTCCACTAGCTTGTCCAGGGGGATATTCTATAAGTATAAAAAAAGCGTAGAAGCTACAAAAGGCTTGATCCTACAAAGGTTTACATATATGCTTAACTTTAACACTGAGTACATCCATTAATTTTGGTGGACTTGTTCACACTGTTCAAATATAGGAAGTGTTTGCAAGGCCTAAAACAGGACACAAAGTTTTGGGATTGAGGGCCAGTAAAGGGTGAAATAATCAATAGAGAAATAAGAA